ATACTAAATAATTAAATAAAAGTATAATTTCACATAAAACAAAAAATTGTAACAAACATACAGAGTTGCAAAAAAAATTAAAAAAAATACGAAAATGTAGAAACTTAGAAAAATATAAAAATTGAAAATAGAAATTGAATCAAAATCAAAAAAATTATAAAAATTACAGAAAACACACAAAAGCTGCAAAATAAATAACAAAAAATACAAGAAATGCATAAATTGAAAAAAATAGACAACATAAATTATGAAAATAAAAAACAATAAAATGCAAAGAAAATACAAAAAAAAAATTATAGGAAATACAAAAACTTGGAAAATAAAAATTGCAGGAAAACAACAAAAATTATAGTCAATCAAAAAAATGCAAATAAATAACAAAAGTACAAGAAACCAAACATAGGAAATTATTGAAATTGATAGATTTTTTTAATATAAGAAAACAAGAGATAGAATTGTAGGAAAACTTTTTTGATAGAATTTTTTATCATTTTTTTTGAAATTGATAAATATTTAAAACAAATGTAGGAAAATGTAAGAAATTTGAAGAAAGACAAGACTTTGTTTGAACAAAGTATTAGAAAAAAAAAAATTTTGAAGAAAGCTAGAAAGAAATTGGAAGTCATGATAAATCAGATAGAAATTTAAAGAAAACCTGAACAAAAACAAGACTTTGTTTGAACAAAGTATTAGAAAAAAAAAATTGAACATTACCTACAAACTCCATCTATCCACTCTACCTTTCTGACTGATGGGGAAACCAATGAACACAGATTTGGTTTTGAACCCAAATCTGTCATTGCCCTATCTTCAATAGAGGAAGATGATGAACACAGATCTGGTTCAAAACCAGATCTACTGTGAATCTAGTGTTAAACATGTCATTAATCACTATAATAAGGGAAAACCTTGCACCTTTCTGCCATGGTGGAAAGAGCAAAGAGAGATCTACCTGAACAGAACCTCTGGAAGAAGAAGAAGAAATTGTTGGTGGTTCTGCTTGTTGGCTACTGAGAACCGTAGAGGTGAAAACCAAACTTCAAAGTGCAATGGCGAAAGACCTCCCCTCGACCAAGAGATTGGTGGAACATATTTAGTCGAGAGTTCAACACTCCTAACCCTTTTTCTTGAGTTTCGACTTTTCACCCTTTTTCCTCAATTTTGACCCTTCCTTTACCCAACCCATCCTAACCTTAATGGGTACCCTTGACCCAACCCACCCTGACCCTTTTCCCCTGACCCTAATGGGCCATTCGACCCATATTGACCCACCAATAGAATGGGTGGGTATGACCCACCAACCCATATTGCTAGTCCTACGAGAGGATTAAATGAGGTGAAAAGTAATAATTAAAGTTACATTTTCAAACATTACAATTAAAGATGGATTAAATACACAAATATGACCATTTTAGTAGCCATTAAATTTGGCATTAAAACTACAATAAAATGACTTTTATAACATTTCTCAAAACAAAGAAATAGAGGATAATTTTAATCCCAAAAAATTTTCACACTACATCAACAATTTTATATATAGCATAGATATAGATATAGATTATAATGGTTATGAAATTTCATTCTGTATTCAATTTCGTGTGTAGAATTCTAGTGATAGATGTTTATATTGGACAAATTAATTGATGGTAATAGTCTATGTTGATATATTTGTGAAAATATCTAATCTCCACATCAATAATTTTTATAATGTTGTAAACAAGAGAATCCATCACCACCACCATGATCTCATCATCATCACCATCATCATCATCATCATCATCTTCTTCTTCTTCTTTTTCTTGGCAACAGTGGCCAAATTTAAAAATTTGGTTTATTTCATACATTCTCAAATATACAAGTTAAGATATAATTCATATTTCTATCAATTTCATGTTCAATTGGAGGTGCAAGTCGAATGCTAAACAGCTACTAGCATAATTCCATTCAAATTTTAACAATTCCTCAACCCTCACATAAATTGCACCTCTATGCTCAATATGCCTAGTGTGTTAGTAGCTCAGAACATTGATTATTATCAAGCAGCTGGATATATCTGAACTTCTATATTTGCCTTCTATATCTATATCTATCTATATATATATACAACGTATAAAAGGAGAAAGGAGATGTACTGAATGGATGGTTTGAATGATCACCTTACCATTCACAAACTAAACCAACCAATTGTTGAATAAGAGAATTGATAAGGTCTTCATACTATCTTATCCCTGAAATCTTTGTGGGCCCTGTCAAATTACTGTACCATATATGATTCTGTTCCACAATGTCATCACAATTTACACTTGTAATAATCTTAGGATGGTACTCATCCTTTTCCTGTGAAATTACCTATCCTCTTTCCAATATAAGACATCATGTCGTTTCCCATCACATCTAAACAAAGAATCATCTGATGTGTAGTTGTTTATGTTTTGAAAGCCAAACTTATTCGCATGGTGGAACATCCTCTTAGGTTTTTTACTTTGTAATGTTGAAGATGCCAGCTGAACTGAAATGTTATTGCTTTTTCTTTAAGCAAAGAAGTATTTAAGGAGATTGTGGGTTCTTTAATGGTCGAAACTACAGTTGCGCAGACCATTGTACCTTAAAAATCTTAGGGTCTGTTTGGTTTTCTGGAATAGGGGTTTGGTATCAGGTCCATTCCACTGCCCATATAATTGTTTGTAGTTGGGCAGCATTGGAATCTTATTTCCATTCTGGTGGAATAACATTCCTTATTTGAGGAAATTACCATTCCCTCCCCCTCCCTTGGGAGTCCAATTCTCAATTCTGATTCTGATCTCGATTCCAAATGAACCAAATGGATCCTTGTTATTTAATTATTCGATCAATAACTAAAAAACAAAACAATAAGCGATTACTTCAGCTGTTATATATCAAGCAGCTCCTCACTAAAACCATAAGTTATGACAAGGAAATACTTTCAAATGTAATTAATAGGTGAGAATCATCATTCATCAAAGGTGGTACCAATCTTTTTTACCAAAAAAAAGCTTCTAACAATGTTGATCTTATTCTCACTTTGGGAAAATTTTTGGTTGGTGTAGGAATATATTACACAAAACCTCTGTAAACGTGAGTGTGTGTATGAGATTTAGAGAGAGAGAGAGATGGGTGGTTCTGGGTGAAATAAATGGTAGCCACAATTTAGGGTGGCTTATTGAGGTGAGAGGGGGTTAAGGGGACATTGGCCCTTTGGTGATAGATGGAGCCACCTTGGTTTCTGGGGTTGGCATAGAGCTCCCAATCACTCTATTTTCTCTCTTCCTTTCTCTCTCTGACTTCTCCCTTGTTTTGATTGGTTGGCCACTTGGCCATTAGAGATCCCATGCGCCACTTCCCATCATGTGACACAGCCCTAGTTTCTTCCTCCCTTCCCACAGCCCATTTCCAGCGGCTTGACTTGCTCTTCTCGATCCTCTTCCACCAATCGTATCCCTTCACTTAATTGTCTTAATTGAATCATCCCTCACACAACTACGAATTTTCTCTTAATCTTCAAACTTATACAAATTAAATTAAGAAAACGAATACATCCAATGCATGTATATATATATATATATGACGTAGAATTCACTTTTGCAACAACGCGGTTTTATGACTAAAATTCTGAATCACAGCTGCTTTGGCACTACGTACCTTCCCATCATTTCATCTTATTCAACGTGGGCCACAGTCATACATCAAAGGCTGTGATTTCACGCCCTAAAAGTCTAAAACCACCTGGTACGTTACGTACGTATGTACAGTCTACATGCAAACCATGCATGTGGTTGTGTTGTGGATCTCCTCTTCAATACATTACACATGTAGCGAATCAGTCAAAATGGATCCGGCCAGTGAAAATCTGGTTCACTTGATCTAGGACCACGATATCATCACTTGATTTGGGTGCCTAAGCGATGGATCAGCATACTATTTTATTGTGGTTGACCGTCTCTGTACTTGGTTGTCCTTGGCATAAACATGCAAATACGTAACATTCAGACAATTCAGACAACAGTACCCAAAATACCCGTAGCTGAATTAGAAGGTCTTAACTCTTAAGCTATTGGGTCATGTTGGCGTCAAACCAAGAATTAATGACAGCTGTCAAGTCTTATATTTTGCCACCTGTCATATGCAATATGATTGGGAGTTTGGGACCCACCATTATATAGGTGCCATACCTGAAGAAAACATTAGTCAAAAATGATCAACTACTTTTTGAGTGTTGAGTCTTTTGACTAGAGATCCTCAGACTTGTGTTCTTTACTTTTATGAGTTCCATGATCAAATCAAATGGGTTCATCTGGGGTTAATTTCATCTAATTGTTCAGATTATGCTATTCTTTGATTCTCTCTGGTGATAGTTCATGTTGTACATGTTCATCACAGGCTCTGAAGTTCACATAGACGGATCTAGAAATCTATTGAAGCTTCATCTCAATAGCACCAAAAAGTAGTTAACAGTACAGTAACACAAAGGAACTCTCTGGCTCTCTGCAACTTCAGATGCCCAAAATATAAGGATGCAAGGCAAGGCTAATGAGACGATGCTTATCTAAATTAACAAACCTGTTACATGGCAGAACATGATTGGAGCCAAGACTTGCCACGTGGTAAGAAACCCGGTTATTTATATGTTTTTCTTTCCATTTTTAACTGAAAAGCAACCCTTGTTTATTAAAATACAAGTGGCAAATATAGTTTTCCCATATCGTGGCTGAAGCCAAACCACAGCCAGCAAACAGACACCACTTTCGAGCCACGGCTCCACACTGGCGGCGCCCATCATTTAGCCATGGCTCGAGCCCACCGTCTTCCCCTTCCCCACGGCCCGACCCCAGTGTCCCTTTCTCTCCCTGACGTCACTCTTCTTCTCAACTCAAGAACCGTCAGATAGCCGGGTCCCACCCTTCCTTTGACACGTTTCAAGCGCACGCTCCCTATATAAAGACCCCAACCCATCGTTTCCTCCATTTTAAACAAGAGCAGAAGGTGAAGCGAAGAAGAAGGCGTCTGAGATTGAACAAGCAAGCTTTCTCTTTCTTCCCTTTCTGTTCCTTCCCAACTGTCTTGGTGTCTCCAATGGCGGCCTCTGTCGAGAACCGGCAGTTCAGTCGCCTCGAGCCTGGCTTGAGCGGCGTCGTTCACGGTTTCAAAGCAGCTTCCAATCGCCGCTCCGACTCTCCTGCTCGCGTTTGCAACTTTCCTTCCGCCACCCCAGAACTCTCCCGTCCTATGAAACCAGCGCCCATGGACGAAGAATCCAGCGAAGACGAGGGAGATTCCTACTTGAAGGAACAGCTTCAGAAGGCCAACAGCGAAGTGGAGCCGTCCATCTTGGACTCCAGAGATGAAGCAACTGCTGACAGCTGGATTGAGAGGAACCCTTCAATGATCCGTCTCACAGGGAAACATCCCTTTAACTCAGAGTCACCGCTGACTCGGCTCATGCACTGTGGATTCATCACCCCGATTCAGCTCCACTACGTCCGGAATCACGGGCCGGTCCCGAAGGCGAAGTGGGAAGACTGGACGGTTGAGGTCTGTGGACTCGTTAAACAACCCGCCGTGTTCACCATGGACCGACTTGTTTCCGAGTTCCCCAGTTGCGAGTTCCCCGTCACCCTCGTTTGCGCGGGAAACCGTCGCAAGGAGCAGAACATGGTGAAACAAACCATCGGATTCAACTGGGGCGCCGCGGGTATTTCTACTTCTGTGTGGCGCGGAATACGGCTTTGCAAAGTACTCAAACGATGCGGCATCTACAGCCGACGAAAAGGAGCCCTCAACGTCTGCTTCGAAGGGGCAGAAGATCTTCCCGGCGGTGGTGGGTCCAAATACGGCACCAGCATAAAGAAGGAGATCGCAATGGATCCATCGCGAGACATCATTCTAGCGTACATGCAGAACGGAGAGCTCTTATCACCAGATCACGGCTTCCCCGTTCGTATGATCATCCCGGGCTTCATTGGTGGACGAATGGTGAAATGGCTGAAGCGCATCATCGTCACTACTGAGGAGTCACAGAATTACTACCATTACAAAGACAACCGAGTCCTCCCTCCCCACGTTGACGCCGAGCTGGCCAACGCCGAAGGTACACCAAGACCGCTTTTCTATTTCTCGCATCAAAATTCCTGGCTTTCTGAAGCAATGTTAATATGTATTCGGTGTATATTGTAAAATAGCTTGGTGGTACAAGCCGGAGTACATCATCAATGACCTGAACATAAACTCGGTGATCACGACGCCATGTCACCAGGAGATCCTTCCGATTAACTCTACGACCACTCAAAGATCGTATACGTTGCGGGGCTACGCCTATTCCGGTGAGTTGTTTGTACTTTTGCTGGAATCTTTTTGCTGTTTATTTAGTTGAAATTTAGATGCATGAACCAACAGCAAGATGTATCGGTCCTATACTATAATCAGTTGAACAGTCCGGATCCGAGAGTTCGTTGTCAACTTTAGACTTTTCCATGTTTCAGGTTACGGTAGGTGAGAAAATACTATATAATTTTCGTATTTTTTATTTTAGTATTTAAGGTAAAATCCCAAATTCCAAATTCGAACCCCTGAACTGAAAATTGCCAGTTGGAATTTTATGGTTAAAGCAAGTTATACTTTTTTGTCGCTTTCTGCATTATTGTTTTTTAATAAATATTTTAAATTTAAAAAATTCTGTTTATATTTATAGGTGGAGGGAAAAAGGTGACACGTGTGGAGGTGACACTGGACGGTGGAGATTCATGGCTGGTTTGTGCACTGGACCACCCAGAGAAGCCCAACAGATACGGGAAATACTGGTGCTGGTGCTTCTGGTCGGTTGAAGTGGAAGTGATGTACCTACTTGGAGCCAAGGAAATCGCTGTACGGGCCTGGGATGAAACACTGAACACCCAACCGGAGAAGCTCATCTGGAACGTCATGGTATATTCTAGTTCTTTTATATCAACTGCGTATTCTAGGGTTAACCTTGCTTAGAGCTGTTAACACGCGCCAAATTATTGGCCAATAAATTGTACCCATGGATCGGACGGGAGTTATTGTTGGATGTATCTGAGTATGATAGCTCCCGTAATAGTGGAAAAGGTCATTTCAATACGTTGAAGAGAAGAGACGTTTGGGCTTCTGCATGCTAACGTGCGTGAGGGTGCAATTTTCAGGGAATGATGAACAACTGCTGGTTCAGGGTGAAGATGAACGTGTGCAAGCCGCACAAGGGCGAAATCGGGATCGTCTTCGAGCACCCGACTCAACCAGGCAACCAGCCGGGTGGGTGGATGGCTCGCCAGAAGCATCTCGAGTCGGCCGAGTCAAACCAGACCATGAAGAAGAGCGTTTCCTCGCCTTTCATGAACACATCATCAAAGACCTTCTCCATGCCCGAGGTGAACAAGCACAACTCGGCTGAGTCTGCTTGGATAGTCGTCCATGGCCACGTCTACGACTGCACCGGGTTCCTCAAGGACCATCCAGGTGGTGTCGACAGCATCCTTATCAATGCCGGCAGCGATTGCACCGAGGAGTTCGACGCAATCCACTCCGACAAAGCCAAGAAATTGTTGGAAGATTATCGTTTGGGACAACTCATCGCCACCGCTTACAACTCGGACTCATCCTCCTCGTCGCCCAACAACTCGGTCCATGGCGCTTCCGACTTGACTCACCTAGACCCTATCAAAGAAGTCACTGTTACTAGAAACGTGGCTCTGATACCACGTGAGAAAATTGCATGCAAGCTCGTCTCCAAGATTTCGATCTCTCACGACGTGCGCCTCTTCCGATTTACATTGCCGTCGAACGATCAAGTTCTTGGATTACCAGTAGGGAAGCATATATTCCTCTGTGCCACCATTGACGGTAAGCTCTGCATGAGAGCTTACACACCCACAAGCTCTGTAGACGAAGTGGGCTACTTTGATCTGGTCATCAAGGTCTACTTCAAGGGCATAAACCCTAAGTTCCCCAATGGAGGGCTTATGTCACAGTTCCTGGATTCTCTCCCTCTGGAGTCCACCTTGGACGTCAAGGGTCCACTGGGATATATCGAGTATACCGGCCGCGGCAACTTCACCGTCCACGGCAAGGCCAAGTTTGCGAAGCGTCTGGCTATGATCGCCGGAGGGACGGGCATCACGCCGATCTATCAGGTGATTCAGGCAATTCTGAAGGATCCAGAAGATGATACAGAGATGTACGTGGTGTATGCCAATCGCACTGAAGATGATATACTGTTGAGGGAAGAACTTGATGGGTGGGCTGAGAAGAATGAGAGATTGAAGGTGTGGTATGTGGTGGGGGAGTCATTGAGGGAAGGCTGGAAGTACAGTGTAGGGTTCATTACAGAGAACATTCTGAGGGAGCACATACCTGACGGATCGAGCGACACGTTGGTGTTGGCGTGTGGGCCGCCGCCGATGATTCAGTTTGCGGTGGTGCCGAACTTGGAGAAGATGAACTACGACGTTAAGGAGTCGCTGCTGGTGTTTTGAAGCGCTCTAGCGCCAAGTCTGACATCTTCCATTGTTGTACATACTAGTATTGCATCGTAACTAGTCGTTCGTTTATGTGTTGTAGTATATTTTTTCATTGTTGTTTTAAACTTTTAATTGTATGTTCTTTGTAAGATTAGAGAGAGAGAGAGAAATGGGTGAATGGGTTGCAGTATTGCACCCAAAGAAACCAAAGAGAAGCTCTTGACCCGACCCAAAAGCCGTGCTGCTTGTGGGCCCATGGCTCTCATTTTGGCATAATAGACGGGTCTAACTGGGGAGACCAAAAAGGGCTGGATACGAAGACACTGGTGAGTTCACATCTGCGCCCTACAAATGCCCCACATGCACATCTCAGCGTGCATTAATGGGAACATGTCTGCGCATGTGGGGCGCTTGTCGCACACAGGCCGTCCCATGCCACATTTCAAACATCTCCCGGTAGTAGATGTTCTCAATGCACGCCTAACATGTGCAGGCATTTGAGGGGTGCAGATGTGAATTCATCTATATCCAATTAGATTGGTCTATTATGCTACGATGAAAGCCATGGGCATGGACCCACAAGCATCACGGGGTCGGGTTGGTAGGCTGGCAGGTTCAACCGTCTTGCATGTAAGTATGTAAAGTACAACTTAACCCACACTAATTCTCAGCGATTTGCTGCGAGTAAGTTCAAGTAAGGTATTTAAAGATTTCCTTAGGTTATATTTAGTTTGAAGGAAAAGCTAGGAAAAGAAAGGGAAAGACAGAGAAATTAATGCAAAATTTGTAAAACTTTCTTTATTTTTCCCTTCCTTTCCTTACATTTTCCTTCAAACCAAATATGGCCTAAAAGGGCTGAGAGATGAAAAGGACGCGTGGGTTTATCAAGTAATGAGAAAGGCGATGGAGTGAATGGCGACATATATAGGAATTAATACATCACAGGAATGTTATGGGCTAAAACGACAGCTTTGATTGTTTCGAGGTCTCTAAGTTTATCAAGTGGGGATTTCACTATGAATTTGCACTCTTGGTTGCAAGAACAGATATTACATAAAGGTAGGAAGGCGACAGGTCTTTCATGCCAAATTTTTTTTTTTTTTTTTATTTCTTTTTTTTTATGTGGGTGGTAGATTTTAGTAGTATAACTAAGCACTAAAATGCATGTTAATAAAACAAGAGATAATATGATTTTTATGATGAAGAAATTTCATAAATAACAGATTAATTAAGATGGTTGATGGTAGAGACAAATAAGATTCAAAAAATCGTTACGTATTGGCCGATATGTATCATATCGGCCGCATCCTGATATGCTCCTACAGAGAGTGTATCAGGGTTTTGATCGGTTCAGGGGGTGGAAGAACCTTAAACCGGCCCCTGAACTGGATTTAAAAAAAAAGTACAAAAAAAAATAATACCGATATATCCCTACTGGCGTATCAAGCGTATTGATATTTAGAACCATAAAATCAAAGCTTTCCACAGCCTAAAAATGTGACAGATGGTAGGACAGATAAAATCAAAGCAAATTTGCACTCCAGTTCAACTATGGTGTTTGGTAGCAATGCATCATTGTACTAAAAATAAACTGTTTTTGCATTCAAAATAGAAGCAAACTTCACTTCCAACTTAAATTAAATGCAAGAAAACTTTGCACTTGGTCGATTTAAAATAGGTAGATTCCAACCTTGGGATTTATGTTTGCATCCATCACAATCAAAACAAGATACTGTAAATTTGCATCCTTCCACTTGAATAAATTTGCATTTACATTAGTCTTTCACTTTTTGCATTATGACTGAACACATCCCCAACTTTAAAACTTTAGGCTCTGTGTGTTTGCCAGTGGGAATCTGAAGAACCAGATAAAATTTTGCACCTGGTTCAGTTTTTCATCCACTTATTTATTTGTTAACATGATCATTAGCACTCTTTCTGGATACAAAATGTCTTTTTACCATCACTAACAGTGCAAATTTTGCATTCCAAAATCTGACAAAATTTGCACCATCTTCCTTCTAGTTCACTTCTCTTTCATATAAAATGGGACCACATCATCTAGCTTTCACCTTATTCCCAAAAAAATGACCTTCCTACCTCTATTTTCTTTCATTAGAGGGGAGGACCACATGATTTTACTTAGAGACAAACAAAAACAAAGCCAAATGTGAAGCAATGGTAAACCAGAATTTGTACGGGGATTTTGAATTTCTTTACCATTAATGTAGGTACCGTTTGGCAAGTTTTTTTTGAAAGATCTTCTAGCAGACCTGACAACCAAAAGGCAATGTGAGCTTTTTCATTAAGATCTTAATAGCCTAAAGACTGTTTGGTTAAGGTGCATCTTCCTATACATCTTTTAACGAGAAAAATGGGATAAAAAAAGTTGAAAAACTTTATTTAGAGTTTACCGAAAATAATCTAAAATGGGTTTCATACATTTTTCGGAGTATCATCTTTTGACGGCTAAATCTTTTCCTAACCAAATGGAAAAAGACCAAAACATAAACTACTTACTTCTAAACAAGCGACAGCCTGCACAAAAAGATGCAAATCAATGGAGAGCATAATAAGATATGAAATATGCAAGAAAGATAGAAAGATGTGTACAGTTTTATTTTCATTGCCAATAGGTTTAGTTTTTCATAATGCACATGAACCTACTTCAATCTCTAACAAAATGATTATTGGAAAAGACAATCTCTTAATATGTTTTTTCCATGGTTCCCATCATGTCTTGGATGGATAGAAGAGTTGCACACATTCATTGTTTCACTATAATTCTTTTATTCTTTTTTCTTGATAAGAGTAGCTTTTCTAAATGTAGCACACTTTATCTAAACCTCATAATGTAGCCATGTTTTCTTCCTTTTTTTCTTCAATTTTTAAAAGCCACTTCATTGGTTCAAAACTTTTCAAAAACATGGAAGCATGACCCTTTCGTTTCACTCTATATCTAGCTACTACTCACAAATTGTTCTCACATTCAAACTTACGGAGCACCACTGCCATATAGGGGTGAGCAAGAACCGAAAAACTTGATCGAAACCGAACCGAAAAAATGGTTAATTGAACCGATCAATTCGGTTTTAGTTTGATATTTTAAAAAAACAGCTATTTCTGGTTTGGTTTCGATTAATCCATTTAAAAAACCGGCGGTTAAGTGAATCAACCGGTATATGTTAATAAATAATAATATATTATATAAACAGGGCCCCATCACATGTGTGTAAATCGGTTAATGAAAATTTTCCAAAAAAAAAAATTCTCCAAATACCCATTTTTTGCTTTTAGGGATCAAAGAGATCAAAAGCAAAGAGAAGATGTACAACAATGCCCAAAAGAGAACCAACTGGCGGTTTTTAATTTTGAGGGCATAAAAGAACTGAAAAACCGAACCGCGGTTAACCGGTTGCATCAGTTCGGTTTCGATTCGATTAACTACAAAAACCGAACATACTGGTTCGGTGCAAAAATGCAACCCCCCCCCCGGTTTGGTTAACCGAACCATGAGCACCCCTACTGCCATCCATGTATTGGCCAGGAACATCTCCCCATGAATGATAAGAGAGATATCCCATGTATAGCTGTAATTACCGTGATCAAATATTCCAACCGTTTCCTGCTTTATAATAGGAGCAAAAGCTTTTTCAGCCTATGAGGATGTAGTTTAGAGAATTTCACTAAAATCCCTTGTCTTTTAAGGTTTTCAAAAGTGGAAACATATCATGAACGTTGGACGTGAGACAATAGCAGGCATATTTCTTTACAAATGTCACAAAAGTCCATGATATGATTTAGTAGTATTAGTAAACTATATTCAATGTCCCTACTTTACCAAAAGTTGTTTAGTTCGCTTTAATTTTCAACCATAAGAAGAGAATGTATCTAATAGATGAGATTGACTTTCAAGTGGCAATTTTATTTAATTCCATAATTGTTCCATGAGATGCTAGTTGATCCAATAGATAATAATACTATGATATTTTATGTTTTCCTTTAGAAATCACCATTATTTTTTGCAATTTAAAATATTTCATTATTAGGATGTTGGAACATTCTTAGCTTAATCATAAAAGATTAAGGCTCCATTTGGAAGGATTACAAATATAAATATGTAGAGTGCAAAATCTCGAATTTTGTATGTATTTGTATTGTACATATTTATATTTGTACTCTTTCTAAACTGAGCCTAAAGTACTCCTTTAGTCAATTTTTTACCCCAAACTTGGTCTCTGGCCAAAAACTATTGAATCGATCAACGATTCGTTGACCCAGGCAATCGAACCATCGACCTATTGATTCATCCAATGGTTTTTGATCATTTTTCTATTTTTAATATTTTTTTTATTTTTTAATTTTTATTGTCAGAATGGGCCATCCATTCAAACCGAACTTTCGAACCGTCAACGCAGAAATTGGTGACCATAATGGTTCTATTTCTGAGTCATTTTTTAAAACCATGTATTTTATTCAAAATATATTGTCTTAGACCTACTAACTGTTTTTATCTTCTACAAACATTTCTACTATGAAAAGATAAATGAGAACCTCCCCTAATTTATTAATATTGTTCACCTAACATAGGCATTGACCATAAAGGCCATAATGTCTTTAGAATATGCTTCTTGAATGACATTTGATGTTTTAATAAACTAAACGAAATAAATTTTAAGGAGAAATTTAACTTATACCAATATGGCAACATCAAAGCATAAAGGAGTTTGATATTTAAGATACTATAAGGAAACTAGTTAGAGTTATAGCTAATTATATCCATTATTTCATATAATAATTGATCTCACATTCATTGAATTTCAATTTATTACTAGTTTCATTATTTTTCACAAATTAATTTTATTCTAGATCCCATCAATAATTTTGGTGGGATTTTGAAAGGTCAAATATTTTGCAATCAATGTTAATAGGCATTTCCACGTAATAAAATTTTTAATTCAGATGTCTTTTTCCCTCGAGATAATAAGGGATATTTCACCTTTGTTTTGAGACTGAACATGGTAATGATATTTGTAGAGGATGGTAATTTTGTCAAACCAAATCATGATAAATATTGATACCCATATATAAATAATAGTTGCTATTGGAGAAGAACTCTAGCAAAACACAACACTGACGGATCAGCTAT